TGCAGAGAGTGGTGAAGGCTGCACAGAAGATGTTGGAGTCAGTCTCCACACCATCACAGACATCTACACCTCCAGATGCAGGAAGAGGGCTAACTGCATCATGAAGGACCCCACTCACCCAGCACACACACTTTTTGCCCCACTCCCCTCAGGAAGGAGGTTAAGGAGCATTAAGTGTAGAACCACTAGACTGAGGAACAGCTTCTACCCTGAGGCTGTTAGACTCATGAATCTCTAACCAGAATAATCACTGTGAAAAACCATATCATGTTGCTGCTGATTTGTTTCATGTTGCTGCTGATCTGTTTCAATGTTGATGTGTTCATGCGTGCACATCTGCTCACAGACTCATGTTCATGTTTGTGCTGATGTTCAATGTTTTATGTTATCAGTGCTTAGTGTATATTTAGTTGATGTTTTTCTTAGTTCATATCTTAGATGTTATCACTGTTTTTATTTTACATTTTATTGTTGGATGTAACTGGGACCTTGTGTACATAATTTCACTCCACCACATGTACCACATGAGGTGCGAATGACAATAAAGAATCTCTGACTCTGACTTATTTCCTCTGAATCATTGTTCTCTTCTGGCTGCCAGACAGCTGGGACGTCTCTTTTTGTGTGACGCTTATCGTCGTCGTGACATTTGGGGCTTCCCCTTGACTTCAGAATTATTTCAACATCTGGTTTAGACGAAATATATTTTTTATGTCTTGATATATGAAACTCTAGAATTAAAAGCGGAAGAACTTTCCTTTTGCCAATAACTTTATACTGGTAGGTCAATTTCTAAAAAATAAATAAAAAGCTTATTGAGTTACTGTGATGTTTTAAATCCTTATTCAAGCCCATTTCTATTTATTTTCCAATTAAACTTCTTTGTTCCATGGTGTAACAGACATTAGAATCAGAATAAGCTTCATCATCATTGCACCGAGATACAGTGAGATTATGTTCGTACAGTTGTCTGAAAGATGGGCGGGGTGCACGTTACTGCTGCTACAAGAGTGTGGCCTCTTATTCTTTATCAGAATACTATTTACATAGAAAAAGGTAAAAGGCCATGAGGATGGATAGTGGTATTAAAAAAAGATCTCTTCACATCTTGTCCTAACAGAACACGATCTGGAAAAATTGGCTGGATTTCATATCACCACTGAGATCAGAGTTTGTTGAATAATATTGGGGGTACCCTTACAGTGCTACATAATGTAAATAGTTTGATTACAGGTATTTTTCAATGAGAAGAGATTTAAAACTGAGAAGATCTGGAGAAGAACGGGCAGGAAAACCTAATATTTGTACTGAAAGTGTTTGGGCTGGTTGAGGAATATAAAGGATAGCAAAGTTGTTTTGTCCTAAACATGTAAAGAAGGTGTGTGACTTCTCTTGGTGAATCTATAAAGGACATTTGGAAAAGTGTAAAGTTTGGATGTACACCTGTATGGAATATATAAATTCAATAAAATTTGCAAACAAAAAAACCTGAAGCCGAGCCAGCCTGAGTGGACATTTATGTCAGGGGGAGTTTGGTCAATGGATGTTTGTAACTATGGCGGGAATGTTAACTGCCCATGAACCATGTGTTTGAGTTAGCAGAGAGTTCTTTTCTCTCTCAGAGAGAGCTGAATGAGGAGATGATACGATCCTGCATGTGCAGCTGGGTGGCCAAGGTCATCAGTGTCTGCCTGTGAGAGCTGATAAGGTTGTACCAACAATTCTCACACGCTGCCCATCAGATTCTCCTGACTGGGCTCCATGCATGTAGAACTTCTGAACATCTGTGTAAGCTGTGATGGAAGTCTGCCCTTGCAAGTAAAACCAGTTAAACATCTTGTCCTGTCGAGTATGGCTTCTTCGAGTAAGTAAGATGAACAGAGGATTTTTTAATCCAACAATTCTCTCAGCTCCAGAAGTGCGAGCAGCGTGAGTCGTACCTGGCTGGTTCTCAGACACTCTGCAATATGAATTTCTCTGGTACTCTCCACTGAGGTGCCAGCTGAACTCCTGGCTGAAGGGGCAGTAATCAGCGATCTCAATGGCACCCCCGAAGAAAGACAGCTGATCAGCATCCACGTCCGGAATCTGATCAAAATACTAGAAACACAGATATTTGGTTTCAGAACGATGACCGTGATCTGTTTCACATTTGGTCACTTCTCAAATAAAACATCAAACGTTCAGGACTAATTAGAATAATCTGTTTCTAATGCAACATCTATTGCATCAGTTTCTTAGAAACATTTGTTTGGATGTTAGATTTTCTGCTGGTTAAAGATTTTTGTGTTAATTAAGTAATTGTGTGTTTGTCACTGGCAGTCTGCTTTGACCAGGAGATTAATAAGTAGAGGAGAAATCCATCAAAGAGCTCCTTGTTGTCATTTACAAAATAAATCCCCATAAGCTGTCAGGCAGTGTTCTTGGCAGTGACCTGGTACTCCAGCTGGAGCTCCTGCGGGTACTTCTGCAGGTTGCAGACAGCTACAGCCAGCTGGTCCTGTCTGCAGGTGAGCTGCAGAGGAGAGGCTCGCACCGTGTCACAGTACGGCGTCACAGGGTGTCGCCTGCAGCAGAAGAAAGACTCAGACGTTCACATCGATTTAAATGAGGTCGTTTTGTTGGTTAGAGAATTGGAACTTGCAGTAGGTGACACAAACACGTCATGTAACCTCTGTCTCTGTTTGTCCATCCAGAACTTGCAGCTTTTCATGACGAAGTCACATCCGAGGCCTCGGCCCCAGTCCAGCCTCTGAGCCAGGCTGTAGTTGGCCCAGTACCAGCCGCTGTCCTCCATGATGGCCAGCGTGAGGCGAGAAAACACCCTGTTCTGGGTGTGGGAGCCCGTCATGGCCTCGTTCTGAGGGGACAACACAAGCAGACGGATGAGGTGAAGGCAGGACAGGAAGTGTTTTCTATGGAGAGTGTGCTGACCTCCAGCAGTCTCTTCTCCCAGTGATTGAGTTCAGTTCCCGTTCCTCCCTGGTTCTCCAGCTCCATCCCCTCCAAGATGGGACAGTTAAAGTGTCTCCTCGCCTCCTCCTGGAGAAGCAACATGAGCAGCTCAGACACTTTCAATAAAGAAAAACTATATTTGATCATCATCTGTCTATACTCCACTGCTGTGAAGCATTTCCAAGAATCCAGATTAACCAAAAGATCAAATAAAATGAATTAAAGGGATAGTTCGGCCATTCTGAAGTAGGTTTTTGTGGGAAAGTAATAAATAAACAGCATCTTACCTGTTAAAGACTACTGAATGGCCTTAATTAAGAGAAACAGAGTTTGATTTTGACCAGTGATGGGCTAATGGCTAGTCTGGATGTTGCAGATTGCTCCAATTTTTAAATAACCACAATGATCAACATTTTAGAGTGATCCTTTCACTTCCACAGACAAACAAACTGGTTTCTGCTGAGCTATACAGCCCTGTCTGGTAAAACAACATCCTACCTCCGTTCGTTGCTCAACATCTGTAGCAACATCTGTACTCTCCGCTCCAGCAGCTACACTAACCTACAGAATGCATCCCCACTTCCTTTGGCCGGTCATCATTTCAGTTTTCAATTGGGAACTAGTTGTCCCTACGAGTGAGAGAGAGTGAATGGTTGTTTGTCTCATTTGTCTGTGTGTCCCCGTGATGGACTGGAGACCTGTCCAGGGTGTCCCACGCCCCTCGCAAAGGACATGGGCACTAGTGACCCCCAGCTATCCAAAATGGAAGAAGCAGGTAAAGAGGATGGATGGATGGATGGATGGATGGATGGATGGATGGATGGATGGA